GCGACTCCCGAGGCCGCCCCAGCGTTAGGAAGCTGCAGTTGTCCTGGAGCTACAACTAAGCAGGATCCTAGGGGCTCAGCTGCGTCAGGACCCAGAGGCTCTGCTGAGGCTTAGCTGAGAGTCTGGGCAGTGAGGGCTGGGGCTGGGTGGGCCTGGCAGGGGCAGCAGCAGCCAAGTTACGGAGCAGGCAAGGCAGGAAACGGGAAAGGACCCAAGGTTGAAATTCAGACAATCGGGCTGCACAGCCACCCACGCTCCCCGCCTGGAGCAGCTGCAGGCTGCTAGTAACCAGCACCTGGCATGGGTTGAGGACCTACTATGTGCCAGGTGTGGTGCTACGGCCTTTATATGATGATCTCATTCAATTTTCCCAGTAACTCATTGAGAGTGCCCCTTTTTACCAAAGCAGAAATGAGGCGCAGGACGGTGAGCTATTTCCCCAAAGCCACCATGAGGCCTGGCTGAGGTGGGATAGAGACCAGGCACTGCATGACCTCCAGCTGTGACCTTTTGCACCACACTGTCACTCTCCCAGTCTAGGGGTCCTGAGGCCATGGACCCCACCAAGGGCAAGAGGGAGAGAAGAATAAGAAGCCAAGGGGGCTCATGCTGGGTTTCCAAATACAAGACAGGATTCAGAGCCCCCAGACCTGTGAAGCTGACACTGGAGCACCCCCCTCCACAGCCCCCGCACCTGGTAAGAGACAGAGAGGACAAGACCCCTCGTTCACCCTCATGGCTCCACCCCAGTCCGGCCAAACCATGCCCCCCTGTTCTATGCTGCAGTCGTAGGAGGGGAAACACCACGCTTTATAGCAGCTTCTAATCCAGTCTTTAGGGACCAAGGTGCCTATGAAGCAGGCATTATGATCCCCATTTTATAGGTGAAGAAACTGGGGTGCAGAATGGTAATCCTACTTGTTAAAGATCTTAGTAGTTGGCAGAGTCAGCACTGGTCCCAGGATAAGAGTCGGGAGACACAGTCAGGGCGAGGGAGAGGTCAGGGGGCAGAGAAGTTTGAGAGGGTCCTAGGGGGCAGCGGACAGGGGGCAGGGTCCTGAGGGGCATTGTGAACCTGCTGAAACCAGGGAGAAGTGGATGCAAGGAGATAGGGAAGGCTGTGGAACAGACAGAGGTCAGCTGGGAAAGCACTGATTCTGATCTCCTGCTCAGTTCTGGGGCAGGCAAACCAGGATGTTCTAGACCATGGAGGGGGAAGCTGGGCTGCTTCACTTAGCCCCCATATCCACTCTGCCCAATGGGGCACCAGTGGGGACTCTGAGGTGCCAGCTCTGCTAGGGACAGACACCGAGAAGGAGGGGTTCCCAAGCCTCTGCACTTTGGCCCCACAAGTCACTCCACTAGCTGCTGCACTTGCACTGCAGGAGGAGGGAGGGATGATCTCCTGGAGACCAGATGCCCCCCAAAAATCCTGCTCATGCTTCACAGAAGCCTCAGGAGCCTCAGAAGATTTGCTAAGAGCACAGTTCCCAGGGGCCTGTCTGGTGCACCGAGAAGGATGAGTGGGCTTCCCAGGCGGGTCCACGAGAGACGGGGGAGGAAGGGCCAGGTGAGGGGGAGGAGGAAATGGCAAGGGCTCCTTGATCATGATCGGGGATTCTGGGATCCCCCTGTTCTGTTTTTCAGCCCCACAACCATGTCATGCTGCCCTTCTCAGGCTCTTCCCTCAGCAATTTCCTTTGCTGTCCCCGCCTCGTCCTCAGCTCTTCAGAGGCCTCTGAATTCCCTGACCAAGTAAGACCACCATGGGCTGCCGAAGCCCCCCGTACTCCACACAGCCCTCAGCACCCCTACAATCTTAACTGTGTCGGATGACGAGCTGACGGATGTCTCTTCCTCCCACCGAAGCCCTCGCTGCTCCCTGCTCCCAAAAGGCGGAGGGTCTAAAGGGCCCAGAGGCAGCACACGTCTCATTTGATCCTCACCACCACCACGGAGGCAATGCTGTCATCCCCGCCTTAGGGGTGGAGTTGGTAACCCACACGCACGGCAAGTATGTGGTTTTGAACTTTGCTGTCTGGCTTCAAGAGTGCCTCCTGCCACGACAACACTCTGCCTTCCCAACCCAGGTGTCCTCTTCCTCTTCCCTTGCAAACCTTCCCCTGTGCTCCCTGCCATCGCCACCAAACTGCTCAAGTTCAAGACTGACAAGTAGAATTCAGTCATTGGAACATTCATCCAGTCAACCAATCAACTGACTCATTTATGGGTTGTTTAGGGAACCAGACACAGGGTCTCTTCTCACCCTGGGCTTCCCTCTCCCTGCTGCTCCTGGGGCCTTGCCAGCAGAAGCTGAGCCCTAGGTAGCTGCCCTGTCCTTAACCTCCTTCTCAGTGGGGAAGCACTAAAGTGGTGTCGATTCCCATCCATCCCTATCCCCCAAGGACAGCAGCTGAAAGTATGTGGGCCAAATAATGTATAGAATCATAGTCTTTTGGTGTCCATCATTCTCTGACGACAAGAGGAAGGACAGGATTCTGCCCCTTCCTTCCAAGCAATTCTTTGTCCCTTATCCCAGGCAGTTCTGGAAAAAGTTCTTGGCTTGCAGTCACAAAACAAGAGAGCTGGCTGTGGAACCACAGGAGAACAGGTCACTCTATCTCTCCCTCTGAGCCACAGTTTCCTCATCTGTAAAATGGGAGTGATAACGATGAGGATTCTAATGTCCCTCCCACAGGCTTATAGGTGAGGATGAAGCCATTCAGACCCAGAGATACAGCTGTCACATAGATGGTGGGCCAGGGAAATGCCTTAGTAACAAAGGAACCTACTGGGACCAGCTGTACTACTTGCAAGATACATTTGACAAGGCAATTTCAGAAAGATGGTTGGGAGCATCCCCAGCAGGGTAAGCCCAGAACCTGCTCTGAGAAGACCCGCAGAAGATAGAGGCCCTCCCCTACCTCAATGACAGCAGGAGAGCTGTGCTCCTCAGCTCACCAGCCAGACGACCCCTGGGAAGAGGCTGGATTGGAATTGAACACAGATGCTCAGCTCTCCCCAGACTTGAGCATCTTACCCTCCAGAGTGTAAGTGCTTGGGAACCTGGAGCTCTCAGAATCACAGCCACTCTCAGACCCACCTGAGGACCACCCCACTCCATTCTCCCTGTTTTAACAGGCACCAGATTCTGAAGGATCTGGAAAATTCCTCCTCTTCATTACATGGCCAGTTTCCACTTATTGAATCCAGGCACCAAGCCAACTGTATTATTTATAATCTCTCATTGACACCTTGTGAAAACCCTGTTTCTAGAACATTGATTATCACCCCATTCCACAGATGAAGAAACTGAGACTCAAAAAAGAAAGTGACTTACCCAAGTCACAGAGCTAGTGTGTGGCAGAGCTGGGATGAATTCTCGGGTTGTGACATCTGAAGACTGCACCAACCCCAAAGGCAAAATAGGGCAAATCACTGAGAAAACTGCAAAGCAAAACTCAATCCTGCCTATACATTGGGGAATTTTCCCACTGTAGCTGGTGATGAGTCATTGAAAGCAAGGAAAGTCATATGCCCACTACTCTTCCTGGGGGAGAAAAGATCCCCAGAGATCATCGATGCCAAAGCTCCCTCAACACCCACACACCCCACCCAATATTCTAGTGTGCTCTGCTCTGCTCTGCAGAGACCCCATACTCTGGAATTCATGCTTCTCAATGGAGGACCCGGGATCTATTCTTCATGTAAACTGGGGCAGAAGAGGGGTGGGGGGCACCAGGAATGGGGACCCCAATAAGATAGGCACCAGTGACTAGGCTAAGACTACAATTCACACCTTCAACCTCTGAGTCCACAGTCTGGCCTCTACCCTGTCTGGTGGCACATGGCTCAGCGAGGTTCAGGGCCATAGCCTCAGTCAACTAGCACAAAGGACCCATTTCCAACTAACAGCAAATATCAGGGCATCTTTGTGATAAGGATAGGAGTTTTCCTGCAGTCTTTTCTGTGGATAGCCGAGCTGATGGATGTCTGGGGCAAGCCTGGGGGTGTTTTAGACTCTCTGAGAAGGTCCCAGCATTGTATTCAGATACCAAAAAAGGGATTTCATGTTCTGAGGTGAGAGAACAAAATCCACTCCAGCCCAAGTGAATCACTGCCGCCTTGGGCAGGAAAAAGGACAAGCCTAGGGGAAAATGGGGGGGGAGCATTTGGCCTCTGAATCACATCCAGGCTCTTGACCCGGTGACTGCCCCGGGAAGGCAGAAAAGAGCAGGCTGCCAATACACTACACCCATTAGTGTATGTGCACACACACACACAGGCGCACACACACTCAGACACACACACACAGACACACACAGGCGCACACACACAAGTGTCCAAAGCCATTTGGGTTGCTCTCCTGCCCCTGAGGTTCTAGGGATTTGACAAAAAAACAAGCCACATTATCATGTTCTCATACAGAAAGCATCAGAAACGACAGTGTGAGACAAGTATATAATGCTGGGGCCCCCAAAAAGGATCACCACATGTGACTTGTAAGTGCCCCCCCAGCAGGGTGCACACACACACACTCCTGTCCCCCTCCTGCATTGGCAGCTCATACACAGCCATCACCCCAAAGGCCCAGGGTCTCTCAGGCACTTCAGCCCACCCCTACCAGCTTCCAGAGGACCAAACATACAAAATACACTTATTCAGTCACAAACAGAATCACACACTCAGAAACTGTGACTGACATACAAAGTGTTACCAGACTACCCCCATAGTGAGATGCCAACAGACGATCAAATGTTATTTACACACACACACACACACACACACACACACACACACACTCTGTGTGTGTGTGTGTCTCTCTCTCTCTCTCCCTCTCCTCTAGTCAGTGGACATGCCCTCCGGCTGGGCTCCGGCGCCCTCTGCAGAAAGCGCGGAGGCCCAGGAAGTCCCGGGTCCGAGGTCAGGGTCCCAAGTCCACGGTCCCCATCCTCACCCCGGGTGCCCAGCCCCGCGGCGCCAGTCCACTGCGGACTCACCGGACGATGCCGAACATGACCAGCACGTTGCCCAGCAGCCCCACGGCACACACGGCCGAGTAGAGTGCGGTGATGGCGACAGCCAGGGCGAGGGACGAGGGGCTCCGTGCGCCCGGCGGCCCCGACGCATTGGCGCCGGCGCTGGGGAAGGCGCTGGGGAAGGCGCTGGGGAAAGCGTCGGACTCGTTGGCCAGGAGCAGGGGCTGCAGCTCGGCATCCGTGGAGGAGACCGGCTCCATGGCGGCCAGATGACCAGAGCTGCGCGCCCTGGGCGCAGAGAGCCGGTGCGGTGCGAGGGCGCGAGAAGGGCAGAGGCCGCGGCCCCGACGCCGCCACGGGCTACAGCACCCTGGCCGCCCCGCTTCCTCCGCGCCTCTTTACCTGCCTCGCCGCCCGCACCGGCTCTGTCCTGCGGCCCCCGCCTGCTCTCCTCGGCAGGAGCGCTCTGAGCCAGGAGCCGCTGCGGGCTTCTCGGACGCGCCCGCCTTGCGCACCACGTGGCCCGGAGGCGGTAGCCAGTCTGCGCCCGCGACCGGGGGCGGGTGCTGCACCACGCAGGGAAGTTTCCCACTCCCGAGGGATGCTCCGCACACTCAGGTACACCCTGACCCTAGCCGGGACTCATCTCCCCACCCTTTTGACGCTTTGGAATCCCGCCTCTTGCCCCTGCTGGGAAGAGCAAAGTGACCTTGAGCAAGTCATTTAACCTCCCTCAACTTTATATTCCTCTCCTGTCAATTAGAATAATCGCACCAATTCCTTCAAAGGGTTGTGGGGAGATTAAATAGGATGATGCAAGCACTCAGTGCTGGGCACACATCCGTGCTCATAATTATAACCATCATCTTGGGGTACCAGGTACTCGTGGATCTCTGGTGCCCAGTACCAGATGGAGCGCCTGGCTTCTGGGGCTCACGTCCCAGGGGAGGAGAGAGACAGCAGTCCTAAGATCACACCGATGAAAATAGGGTTGTAGGTGGGGGGAAGGGAAGAAAAGAAGGGGTTGGTGACACGGGGTCTACAAAACCCCGAGCTCAAGACAGCTTCCCCGAGGAAATGACTCTAAGGTGAGATGGGAAGGAACTCACTTAGGAAAGAAACACAGGGAGAGCATTCCATATAAAGGAACCATATGAGCAAAGACCCTGTGGTGGTGAGGACTAGGAGGAGGCCAGGAGGAGAAGGCAGGGAGTAGGTAGGGGAAGGAGGGCATGAATTGGTGGGCAGGGTCTCAAAGACCATCTTTTTTTTTTTTTTTAAAGATTTCTTTACTTATTTATACAAGCACTGGGTACAGTCAGAAGCACGGGAGGGTGAGAGAATTCACCAGAGCCAGAGCGGGGAGCAGAGCAGGCAGAAGGACCGAAGTACACTGCAGAGGGGAGCAGCGGGCGGCAGGAGAGGTCTGTGCACCATGTGGGACCCTCGCCCAGCGCCGGGGATTGAACCGGCGCTGCAGAGGCTGTGGGCAGCTTCGCAACCCAGCACTCAACCACTGTGCCACTGGGGAGGCCCTCTAAGACCATCTTAAAGATAACTCTGGGTGCTGGAGAAGCAGATGGAAAGGGCAGGGAAGATCCCACATCCTCTCCCTAACCGAACCAGCCCATAGCCAGTGTCATTCTCTTTCTTGAGATTCTTGTCCTGCCCATAACATTCTCTCTACAAACCCTATTCTGTTCCACGCACTGTGATAAGTCCTTTATATAGACACACATCAACACTTTGGAGTGGATTCTGTAAGTGTACCCATTTTAAGATGAGACATCTAGGCTAGGTGCTAAATTATCTCATATGGTAATTATTTCTACGTGAACTTCTTACCTTCTTGGGGAGACCAGGTCTGGTTGATCCTTGCACCCATTAGAGACCGGGATTACAGCATTTGTTCAGGAAATGCTGGTTGGGTTATGAATAATGGTCCCCAGGGGGAACAGAATAACAACCTTGGGGCTTCCAAGTCCTAAGCTCTGGGGTAATGCTGTTGGCCTGTGACTGGACAAGGATCCCTCATTTATATCACCCTCTGGCTCTTAAGTCATTCATCTATTTGCAAGGCTCTTGTTCTTTCCCAGAAAGAATAAAGTCAGAATTCCTAAGTTCACCCTTCTCGCCATTCACTTTGCCTTGCTCAGCTGGAGACTCCCCACCCCAGACTTTCCCACTCAACCACCTAAAGGCTCATCACACAGATGGTTTTCACTCTGTGGTCATAGGTGCTGCCAGAACTCTTTCCCCTGTCCCAAAGGGCTTGGTACTAAGGAGACTTTTCTGGTGTCAAGGGAGAGAAATTGGGGCAAGAAGAAGGAGGGATACTTATTAGAATTTTAGCCTCCTCCTTACCCCTCTAACAAGTTGAGTTTTTTCCAACTTTGGGACATTTGCACACTCTATTTCTTCCACTTAGGGGACTCAGCCCCTTCCCAAGGTTAAATGCTATTCGTCCTTCAGTTTTCTTTTTTTTTTTTTTTTTTTTTTTTTTAAAGATTTATTTATTTATTTATACAAGCACTGGGTACAGTCAGAAGCGCGGGAGGGTGAGAGAATTCACCAGAGCCAGAGCAGGGAGCAGAGCAGGCAGAAGGACCGAAGTACACTGCTGAGGGGAGCAGCGGACGGCAGGAGAGGTCTGCGCGCCATGTGGGACCCTCCTGCGGTGGCCGGGGAGCAGCCAGGGATCGAACCAGCGCTGCAGAGGCTGCGGCCAACTTCGCAACCCTGCACTCAACCACTGCGCCACAGGGGAGGCCCCGTCCTTCAGTTTTCAACTTAAATATCACCTCCTCCATGAAACCTTTAATGACTGTCGCCCTTCCCCCATGTATAACCAACTAGACCAGTTCCCATTGTTATGTGTTCTCTTACCACCATGTATCTCTTCTTTACAGAATTTCCCACCTATTTAATTGCATAATCACTGGATTTTCATGTATCACCATTACAATAGTTGTAATGGTGCACTCTGTACCCCCAATTTAGGCAATCAATCAATGAGGGAATAGGAAACTCAATTCTAGCTTCGATGAGCTCCCATTTTGATGAGGGAGACAGACCAGACATAGTTTAATCCAGACCTAGGAATTTTCCTAAGCAACTACAACCCTTTGATTAATTCTATCATCATATTTTGCTTGGAACTGACATGCTAATTCCTAGCTCCTGCCCTGCACCCTGGTGTTAGGTAGGGTGTCACCAAGCTACTCTACTCTCTTGGTGGTATTGCCTTTGGGGTCCTCCATTCTCGTCCCAGCCAGGGTTTATTGCTTCTCTTTTCTGATTCCGTGCCCTTTCCCCACCCCAATCCCATGCTACAGCCACACTGGGCTGAAGGGAACTTCTAAAAATTCATTCCACAATGAGTTATTTTTTTTTTGTTTGTTTGTTTTTATAGAGGCATGTTTTCTATTCATTTATTTTATCTGTTTGTTTGTTTTGTTTACACATGCACTGGGCACAGTCAGAAGCGTGGGAGGGTGAGAGAATTCACCAGAGCCAGAGCAGGCAGAAGGACTGAAGCACACTGCTGAGGGGAGCAGCGGGCGGCAGGAGAGGTCTGCGCGCCATGTGGGACCCTCCTCCGGTGGCCGGGGAGCAGCCGGGGATCGAACCGGCGCCGCAGAGGCCGCGGGCAGCTTCTCAACCCAGCGCTCAACCGCTGCACCATCGGGGAGGCCCGTCCACAATGAGTTTTTGAGTCCACTGTGCTGTGGTGAAAGCCATTGCTAGGGTGGTAGAAATGAGTTCCTTTAACTTCTCTGATCCTTGGTTTTCTCATCTCTAAAGTACAGGGATGCTCTGCCAACTGAGAAAGTGTATGAGCATGAGAGTTACTAAACTGTGAGGATGAGTAAGACCATTGCTTCTTGAAGCTCACAATCAGGAAGCCACGAAAGATATGTAAATGACCAAGTACTTGAGCAGAAATAATTGTTAAGAAAACACACATGCTGTTCTGGATGGCCCCTTTGAAGAGTTTGCTTCCTGTCTCTGCTCTCCCCCACATCAGCATACAACAAGAAGTCTGCACTCTGTAGCCCAGAAGAGGCCTTCACCAAAACCCCACCATGCTGGCACCCTGACCTTGAACTTCCAGCTTCTGGAACTGTGAGAAGTAAGTTTGTTTATGAACCTTTCAGTGGACGGTACTTTGTCACAGCAGCCAGAACCCACAAGACATCTGCCAAGTACACAGGAGTTACCCCCATTGAGGATATTGGGAGAACACGTGGAAACCTGAAAGGCAGCTAAAGGGGTTTCCACAATGACCTCCCACCACTGAGTACTTTGACTAGGTTACCTCTTACTTGGATGTGGGTGTTCCAGTCTTCTTACAAGAGGGAGTCTCATTTCTGTGGTCACACTCATCAATAACCCTGCTGGCTGCCTTATAGAGAGCAGCATGCTGTGCGCTGGTACTGGGCCAAGTGCATTGTGGGTCCTTTCATTCTCCAGCCTTCCTATAGATGTGAGGTTCTACTATTATTATTTCATTTTGCATAGATTAGGTTACCTGTCCAGGTGAGCTGTTAGCCAGCTGTTGTATTAAGCTGATGTGACTCTACCAGTCAGACTTCTGACGACCCCACGTCACTGCCTCTCAGAACTAAGTCATTTCTGGAAAAAAAAAAAAAAAAAAAAGACCAACTAAAAAACCGCACAAGAACCCATGGCTCCAGTGTCTGCTCAGCAGAGTTTTCCCCACTGTGAAGTGCGATGAGTCACTTGGAGCTCAAGAGATTCTTGAGTCTGTTCCTGCTCTGGGTGGAGCACAGAGTAAGCACAGCTCTCCACACCTGGGTTCCCAAATGTTTTGGGGTTTCCCCCATCCTTGACATCAGAGGGAAAAAAAAACCCAAAACAAAAACGGACAGAAAATCCTGGGCCAACGCAGGGCATCAGAAGGCGTCAGCTTGGAGAAACAGAATCACTGGAGTCAGAGCAGAAAGGAACTCCCTGGGGAAGCTATTAACAATTTAGTACGTGGGCATGTGGCTCCCACCTGCCAGAGAGACAGATCCACCGGATGGAAATTACTGGGACTGCCTCCGAATGAGCAGGCAGCTCCCCTGGGTTGCCTTTCAGTCTGGCTCCAACAGCAAGCCCGGGAGGGGGAGGACCATAACGATAACCATAAAATAATAACCACTTACATTTGCAAAGTACTCTTGACTCTCTGAAGCACTTCCAGATTGATGATTTCATCTTATCTTGATACCGTCCAGATACACGGGGAGGTCAA